GCAGCGATATAAACTGTCTATGTATGGTTAAATAGTCTGACAATGACAGGGTCGAAAATGAATTCAGTTCGTCTCTCTTCCATTTTATAAATTAAAATACTTTTTGTTAAGACTACAGACGCTTTCATGCTTTTTTGTATTATTGTTCAGGATTGAAAGATGATGATAAAGGAAATGAGAGACACCATTGTTTTGTATGTGCAAAGCACTTTCTCATGTTGCAGATGCTTGAATACGTGATGTGTTGCCATCACAGGCTCAAAGGTTTTTAGCTGATGTAGAGTAACGGGTGCCTGTGATTGTTATTTCTTTTGTAAGGTGAGATTGTGGTGGTCTTTGGTGTAGGACCTTGTATCTAATATGTAACAGTATGATGGTCTGTAATGTATTACCAGGAATATACTGTCTGACATTGCGGTGGTCATTTATTTGTTACCACGTGTATGTAGTGAACATATGAATTGTGGTTGTCTGTAACATATGACCGCATATCTAATCTGCCGTAAGCTGACAAAACGCCTTTTTTCATTTCTGGTGTTAAATTTTTGAATTTGCTAAATGTGTGAGAAAATCAAAGTGAAATTGTGGCTAGTTTTTTAATAAGTTAAAATTCAAATTTCGGAAGAACACCTTTTTCAAAAGGTTACCCTGACAGAAAAACATCTTTATCCCGAAACTGCCGTGAATAGAAAAAGGCGTTTCTTCAACTCACAGCAGTGACATGATGTAGTTTTGCATATCTATAACGTACTGTCTTTGTGGCCACTATAAAACATTACGGATTACCTAGAATAATGAAGTGCTATCATGGTTTTTTTTTCTTTTTTTCAAAATTATGGATGCTGTGTATTGCGTCTCATTTATTAAAAAAATAAATATTTGAATCGACTTTGATTGTTTCTTGTTTGCTTTATTTAAGAGAAGGTTAGTCGCACATTGTTGTCCAGAACTGTGCTAAGAAAAAGAAAGAGGATGAAAGAAGTAATAATGATGAGGATAATGATAATATAGAACATCTCAACTAAGTGAATTCCCAGAGATGACATGTGGATGGTTGGCGGGACCTCTGGTCTCGTTTCCTCCTTCTTTACTATCAAACATCTTTATCATTCCTGCTTCTTTTTTATGTTTGTTACTCTCTTGTAACACATTGGCAATTATATGACCCAATTGTGTTACATCTGCCGTTAAACGCTTATCTGACCAAAGCAGAGCTCTCCGACTGGTGGCAGAGAGGCGTCTCTTTCTTCCCGAGACACCCGAAAGGGTATAAGCGGCGGATAAAAGTAAAAGTAAAGTAAGCTAGTTGAGCTGTATATCTGACAACTTCACAGGACTTTGCCGAGTATCTTACAAAAGTTGAAAAATCACAAAAAGAAGAAAAGCCCCTACAAGTTCACTATCTATCACCAGAAAGTCAAAATGAATTCATCCAATGTTGTGCATCAAAAGTGACAGACGTGACTTTGAATTCTTCAAATGAACCTCACCCCAGAAACACGGTCAGATTTGATTGGTATTCTTAAGTACTTTGCATCATTTGAATGTGTGATAATGGCTTCTGTTAGGCTCAAAATCTTCACAGAAATAGAGTGTGCTTCAAGCACGAGATATGACGCTTGACGTTGAGGTGGCAAATATCAATAGTCTGTTTAAAGATCTGAAAAGCTTACGAGATGAATGGGACGCAATCTTACTTGAGTGGGTCCAAATTAGTAGCAGCACCCAGCACAACTATGACATTGAGGATTCATTCGCCGAAAAAGCAAAACGACAAAAGCGAAAAGGAAGCTTTTTGCAGACGAGACAGAAGATTTAACAGACTACCAATGGAATATAATCCCGATAACAAATTCAAACATGACATTTTTTATGTCCTCATTGACTGCCTTCCTGGAAATTTGACGACAGGTGTAGATATAATGCAGTGACAAAACTCGATTAGTTATTTAGTGTTTTGTGGAAATATCCCCAAGAGGAAGTCGTCGTTATTCGTGATCTTGCAAACAAATTGCACACGGAATATGCAGTGGATGCATCAGCAGACCTTTGCGCAAGAGTTGGAACATTTGAAAGTGATTCATTCAGCGAATAATATTGGAGAAAATGTACTGCCGCCTCTTCAGTTGCTAAACAGACTTCATTCCCCGAAACTGGATGCCTTGTTTCCAAACGTTGAGAATCTTCTGCACCTTGCCTGTCACTGTCACACTGAGTCACAGTTGCGCAAGCTGAACGTTCCTTCAGTACCCTTTCTCGGGTGAAAAACATTTTGCGTCCACAATGTGTCAAGACAGACTCAAAAGTCTTGGAACTTTGGAGAGGCCAGTCTAGAGCGAAAATTGGACTACGAACCAATAATTGACAGCTTTGCTAGAGCTAAATCCCGTAAGGCTCCGCTGTAAGAAAAATAAAGTGTGCTACATTACAATTTATTTTAATTTTTGTTATTGGTTTATTCCTACCTTCATTTTTAACTACCCGGTAAATCAGGAAAATTTTATGTTGACAATACCCATCATTTGATCATGGAGGGGGGCGGGACAAATGAGGCTGGGGTGAGAGTGTGTGTGTGTGTGGGGGGGGGGGATTACTTTTACTTTTATACAAACATCTCTTTCGTAAAATGCATTTCCAAGGGTAGTGAAGATGTGTGTGTATGAGAGAGAGAGAGAGAGAGAGAGAGAGAGAGAGAGAGAGAGAGGAGAGAGAGAGAGAGAGAGAGAGAGAGAGAGAGAGAGAGAGAGAGAGAGAGCGTATTTTGGTATGTTACAGTTAGGTGATTGTGTAATAATACGATGCTTTTTGTTGGGTTATTAAATTGCAGGTGAGGATGCATGGGTGGGGCCGGGGGAAGGATTGCTGCCCCAGGGCCCGACCTAGCTCTCGACGGCCCTGGATGATGATGACATCATCATCATTATATAGGCCTAATAATAATAATAATAATAATAATAATAATAATAATAATAATAATAATAATACTTAATAATAATGATAGGCTAATAATAATGATAACAAAGAAAAAACACAACAGCAAAAACAACAACAATAATAATAATAATGAGGAAGCGTGCCGTTGTGAAGGCATGAATTGTGACTTGGGTGGGAAAGCCCCAAAGGACAATTAAACTTTTATAACCTCTTTGGAAAACCCTCTATTCAACTCTGAGCGACTAAGTTCCTTCCTTGTGCCCATGCGCTCATGAAAGCCAGGTTCTTCATACCCAAAGCTTTTAAGAATAAAAAATGAAAGAATTTGTCATTGAGTCAATATATAATATAATAATTTTATTATATTTATATTATAATTAGATCTATGTACATGTACCACAGAATTCTACACTAAGTGTAGAATTCTGTGACATGTACAGATCAAGCCCTTTTTGTTCAGCACCGCGTTACTCGCATTTATTACAATTACTTCCCCTGTTATAGGCCTATCGACTTTCGACGGAGGAGGAAAAAAATGACTAGGCTACAAAGGGGCTGTGGATATTCCCAGATATTTTGGATTTTTTGTTCTAAACTCCTTGGGATAGCCCAATGCGTCCATTAGCGGGCTTAGCTATTCCCAAACCTTAATCCTATGACATGCTTGGCAACATCAAGCGCAAAAATCCTTTCACCAGAGACAAGGCAAAACTCAAAATTTGTTAGGCTATGTTTTACAACTCATTCTGAAAAAAAATCTTCGAAAGATGCCTCGAAAATTTAGACAATGGCAACACCCATATTCTCCTTGGCCGAGAGACGAGATAGAGATAGATAGAGAGAGATCAGAGAGAGATCGAGAGATCAGAGAGAGAGAGAGAGAGAGAGAGAGAGAGAGAGAGAGAGAGAGAGAGAGAGACGGGGTGGGGGGGAGATCAGAGAGAGAGAGAAGAAGAAAAAGGGAGAGAGAAATCAGAGAGAGAGAGAGAGAGAGAGAGAGAGAGAAAGAGAGAGAGAGAGAAAAGAGAGAGCAACACAGACAGAAAGGTAGGTAGATATAAGCAGACTGACAGCAGAGTCAAGGAGAGATCTAGGGGTCAATGTGAAAGATAATAAGCGGGGCACGATAAATTCACGCTGGTTTGGCACGCGCTCAAAGGAAACATTTAGGGCTACCATTCTACGGGACATTGCCCCGAGGACACAGCCAGGCTAACTGAGTTCGAATCGTGAACAAAGCGAAGAAGCAAGATGACTGACCCAGTTTTTTGGTGCTATGAGAGGACTGAAAATACGCACCCCCCCCCAAAAAAAAAAGACTAGATATCTAATAATAATAAAAGAAAATCAGCAATAAAAACGAATAAACGACGCACACATCATTATGTTTGTCAAAGTCAACCAGCGTGAGCAAAGGTGACTGTTTCAACGATTAGACATCTTGTACTCGAAACAATCCCTTTTGTATTGAGAATGCGAAGCAAGTGACAGGTATTTTCACCATTCTAATTCAATAGTGTAGAATGTCTAGAAACCTGAAAAGAAAATAACAGTAAGTTTAATGACTGGCAACATATTTTGGAGAAAACCTTGCCTAGCCTTTGTCACGCATGCGTAATGCACTACAAAATTTGGGAATAGCAGGAAAGCTGCTAGGCCTATCCCCAAATGTTTGGGGATATCTCTCTAAATATAAAAACATCCGCTCGTCGCTTCTTGTGGCTTATCAGCAGGTACCCTACTCGTATGATGTGTTTATCATCATTGAATGACGAAGGGTGTGTGCATGCGTGTTAAAGAAAAGTAAACACAGGTGAGAGTTTGGCAGATGACTTGCGGACTGTCGAGACAATGCTCTTCACATGTAGATTCTAGATTTTTAATAGATTAGAACTGTCTGAAATACTTACTTCCCGTATTGACAACACTTCCCTGTTGCTAGATCTAGAAAGACACCTCGGGCCTCGGTTTGTTGATTTGACTTCACTCAGCCCTCGCCTCACTCACTGGTCTCCCCCGGTGAGTCTTCGATCACGATCATTAGCCTATCATCGTAATTGAACTTCTGTGTCTGTGCTGGTACTCCGCAGTTCTAAGTTACCAGTGATTCACCCATATTCCACATTTTGTACTTCTATCCGAGTTTACCAGCATCAGGTTCAGGAGGTGTCTTGAGTAGCCATCACAAAGTTCGATGATCTCATCTACTCTACAGAGGCCGACAAACAAGCCTACAGACTAGGACAGTAGCCTACTGACAACAGGTCTACGTGGGTTGTGACTGTGTGATCATGTGTCTTTCACTTGTCTTACAACCTGTGTGAATTGCTGTCAGTGGACAGGGATCAGATTAACTTCATCATGTGTAAATTTGTGTGTCATGATCAATTATATGCCTTGTATAGATATAGATATTGGCTGTCATTATTCGGACTCGAGTCCGAATAACATTTTTGGCTGGATTGTACTTTACCGGACCACCCGTCTCGGCCCGTGATTACTACGCATGCCTAGCCTAACTACGCACTCATACTCATAGTACTCTACGTGTGGACAAAAGGCAAAAGGTAGTTCCGCGGGCGACTTCGCGCACGCACAGCGCAAGCCAGTGGCGACTGGTGGTGAGGCGAGGTGAGCGAGAGGTGGTGGTTGAGAGTGGGCAGGGGAGTTAACTTTGGTGGACCACCGTGTATCATACCAACAGTAGGGAGGGGGGGGGGGGTTAGGGGGGCTTGCCCCCCTGGAAATATTAAAGAAAACACACAAATGCGAAACAATAAAATAAGCGGAAAGTCGTGTTTACCCATCAATGTAACAACAGTGGGGGGAGGGGGGCTAGCCCCTCTGGCAACAATAATTTAAAGACACACACACACACACACACACACATATATATATATATATAAACAATAACATGAGCGGACAACGGGGTAGATACTCGCCAAGTTGCGAGCAGGGCTGAGGGGGTTGCAATTATGCAAATGAGCTCTCCTGCGCATCTCTAGCCCTCCATTGTACTTTGCCGGACCAGGAGTAGGCCAAGCCAGCAGAGTTGCGAGCAAATCAGAATAGTGGACCACGTGATTAGATTGACCAATTAGCCTCAAGGTGTCAGGGTCGTGGGTCAAAGGGCACGGTGATGACTGAAAAACCCGGTAAGAGACGTCAGTCGATTGTTGGCGGTCGAAGGGTGTGGACGTAGAAAACTGAACAGGAGAGTGAGTAGGGGAGCTCATAAATGAAGAATAGCGGGCCACTATGCACCAGGGGCACCATAGCGAAAGTTGCTCCGACCGGTGGTCCGGTAAAGTACAATCCTACCACATTTTTTCATATTCGGACTAGAGTTCGAATAAAAAAATTTCATATACGGACTAAAGTCCGAATAAGAAAAAATGTTATGAATTCGGACATGGGTCCAGAAAAAAAAGGAAGTGTCTTCGTTCTATAGATCTAACGTTCAGTGCTTCCAATTTTCCGCCATTTTTTAGTTTCCCCCGCACCTTGTCTGCCGATCCGATGCCCGCCGCCTCATTGATACGCCCCCCCACCCCCATGTTTCCCACTTTCTTTGTTGTAGAAAAAGGTAAAATTGAAGATTAGCAGATCTCCTGGCACCTGCATATTATGAGCTGTGTAAAAAAAAAGACTGATTCGTTCAAATACACAAGCCTGTGTCATCTTGATTGTTTACCAAGAAAAAGTTGTGTTGCTGTGTAGAGCCGAGCATACGGCAACTTTTGATTCCATAGACCAGCGCACAATTCATTACGTAGATCTAGGTCAAGACTAGCTTTTATTATTGTAATGATCAGTTGCACCCCCCCCCCCTCTTCCCCGACACGCACACACAGCCACACGTGTGCAGGCCGCCCATCCGACCCCGACACACGCTAACAAGCCATCTTTAATTGCTTCTGATGACCTCTTGACAAATATAAACATTTATTAGAAGCGCTCTAACTTTTTAGGCCGGCCTCAAATTCATCATAAAAGATAAAAACTCGGCTCCGGCACAATAAATTTAACGCCATTTTGCCCAAAGTGATCCCGGTCTCTACCCAGCCTGAGGCGAGTCACGAGTGAGGCAGGACAGGAAGCCGGAGTCACGAGTCACAGGAAGTCGGAAGTGATGTCATGGTGGACAAGAATCAGAGTCCGAATAACATTTTTTCATATTCGGACTCGAGTCCGAATAGTCACTTCGATAGATATTATAGACTAGAGATCTAGATCTAGATCTAGGCTAGATTCTAAATACAAATATATCTAGATCTAGATATCTAGATCTAGATCTAGATCTAGATTTATATCTTGATTTAGAATGTTGATCTACATCAAGTGAACTTCCTTATACTGGTCTTGACCTCTTGTCATGTTCCTCATCAAGTGCCAGGTTTACTCTTTACTCGAAATTACAGTTGAACCTGCCCTGACGGCCACCTCTATAAGACGGCCACCTGTACAGACGGCCACTTTCCATTTCCCCCCTTGCGTTTTTTCGATATAATTTAACTGTGTAAAACGGGCACCTGTCCAACCCGGCCGCGGCCACCATAATTTAACACACAACCCCTATCATACTAAGCAATAATAATACCTGTCTTAGACGGTCACCTTAGTGACTCCATTACGTTTTGTCATAAATTGTGCATTGGCCCCTGGCGTTGTGGGCGAGCCGTCATAATTCAATCACCTGTCGTTGTTGTTAGATAGTCCCTCCAACCGATCATGTTGCGTAGGCCCCTCCCACTGTTGACCAATAGCTACCAATTTTCAGCTGCTGGCGAAGTTTAGTAAGCGTGTGATCCCTTATAACCCATAAGCCCCGCCCAGAACTCATACACAAATCGTAAGTGAGATGAGTGGTCACTGTTTACCCAGTCTGTAACAAAGTAACAATGGACGTAAACATGAACTTGTTTCAGAAGCGTCGCTCGTTCTCCGAGTAGTGGCGACCCATGTTTTTGTTTTAACATGGCACTCGGTCTTCCTTGTCAAATACGTTTCGTTTTATTGTCACCCTTGTTCAAAATCAGTGACAAAATAAAAATTCCAAATGAAATAAAACCAACAACAACAACACCAACAAAGACAACAACAATGCGGCTACTTTCGATTGAGACCTCAGATGGAAATGGTTTGTTTTCTTTATCTTGATAAGTCCTGCCTAAGACGGCCACCTGTCTTATACGGCCACTTTTCTCCTTGACAGTGGGTGGCCGTCTTACACAGGTTTGACTGTATTGTCCACGTTTTGAAGGAATTTTTATACACTGATTTCATGAAACATGTAGAATAGATCTAGGGGGGAATAAAAACGCTAGATCTAGGTAATTTAGAGATAATATACTCTAGATCTATATGGCCACCTCTATTCTCACCCCGAGTGAGAATAGCGCAGGCAGGCCTTTTGGCTATTCTCACCCGGTGTGCCTTCACCGTGATTGGCCAACCAGTGTAGGGTTCACCATGAACAAATGTTCCAGCACTCTTTTGTGTTGTCTGTCGGCAGTGAGAGAGAGAGAGAGAGAGCTCTGGAGGGTGTGGGAGTGATGGGGAGCTAATCCAGTGAGAAAGAGGAAGGAGCGAGTGAACAAGAATGGGGAGAAAATAGTCTGCGACAGAAAGAGAGAGGGAGCAAGCGAGAGAAATGAGAAAGACACTCGTACATAGATAATAGTCGTGGAGAGAAAGAACAGGATGAGAACTAAGAGAGAAAGAGAGAGAGAGAGAGAGAGAGAGAGAGAGAGGGAGGGAGAGAGAGAGAGAGAGGAGTAGCGTGAGAACTTCCAGGCGAAACAAAAATGGCCGTAGCATCTTTGTAGTTTTGTAGACGACCAAATTAATTTACTTTTGTGTTTTAACGTCATTTTTTATCTTTGTTTTTGTCAACTTGATGGTCCACTAGACAGTATTCAGAAAGAGAGTGCAAAAGAGGGAGAAGGAGTAGATCTTGCGAGAACTTGCGGGCAAAACAAAATGGCGACCCACGTAGTTTGGCTTGATTTGAAAAGTGAAATAGGCATAACATCTTTGTAGACAACCAAATTAGCTTACTTTAGTGCTATTCATAATTTTTTTGTTTTCTATCCTATCATCCACACCGATAGACAGTATTCCGAAATTAGAAAAAACAGGTCTTGTTTCACAGCGGGTGAGAATAGCCAACGCTGTCAAGTCTCACCTGGGGTGAGAGGTCGATCGTATTTTTATTCTCACTTGGGGTGAGGATAGCCACTTCCATTGTTTATCATAACATGGCTAAATAAAACTGTGTCAAAGTGAATGGGGAAGTAGTTTCCTCTATAGATCTAGATCTAGATATATCTAGATTTATTAAATGTTATTCATGTGAGGCATGCTGACAGCAATGAGTTACTTCTCGGAATCTAGATTCTAGCTCTATGGGCACAGATAGGTGTCATTATAATTGATACAATTTATTATTTATGTGAAATAATACAAATGTTAAACTTGAATGAAAAAGCTTAGTTGAAAATCTAGGCTACTAATCTGGTGTCAGTTTTCAGATGACATAACTTCCATTTGTGGATTACGAACAGTAACTCATTTTGTCTGCACACCTCACATATATATATCTATTTAGATGTTAGAGATTGCATAGCAATCCTTTGTGTACCCTGCGATCTGACTTAATGCTGGGACTGTCCTCTCTGGGACTTGGTGAGTTTCATTGGACGCTCCCATCGTCCAGTTGGGGTTAGATCACACATAGAGTTTTATTTAAAACTCTTTATCTCGGGGAAGCTGCTCCCACCGGCTCGAGGTCGGATCCGCTGTGCCGGTAAGCTGCTGACAGGGGCTCAGGCACACATCCCTTTTTTTGACTTCGACATGATGCAATCACTTTTTGGCAAATGCCGAAGACAGGTCTCTTTTATTGGGATTTCATTCATATATATATAAGATGAAGAACTATCAAAAAAGGTTCACTTGTTTTGATTTAGTGACCAGTTTAGTAACGTTTTGTCATTTTTAGATTTAGTATAGAGGGTTTACCACCCTTGGAGATAGAGAGTGAAGGTCTGAAACTGAAACCAGATGTTTTATATTATGTTTCACCAATCATTTCTTTGCTTGAGCTACCTGCTAAAAAATAATCATTTTAATCACCAATTTGAACACCGGTCTTTTTTACTGTCATCTGTTAGTTCGAGTTGTTTGAAATAAATATTTTTCTCTCTTGGTCTACCTCTGTTTCTGTTGCCTTCTGTTTTTCCATTGAAAGCAAGATGTTCAAGGTTTTTACATATCAAATTTAAGTCCTAAGGAACACCATAATTATCTTTTCCTGTTTTTATTACTGAATGGCCCACAGAGAGGGGCTTCTTTCAGCACATCATCATTTGATTTTTCATTCCAAGAAATGTTTGTATATATAACAATATATCTCCAAAGAAACCACTGTCTGTTGCCCTTAGAACTTTTAATTTCACTCCTGGTGACCTTTGCAGTGTTTCTTTTTATTTGGAACACTTAATTGTCCGATGTTCACAGCAGTTTTGAAGGGTTGACCACATACATAGGGTTAAAAAAATTTCAGATTAAGAGAAAGGAATTAGAATGTATGTCTGTTGTAAGTAAAAAGAGAGATCATGTTCAGCATTGAAAGTGGAGTAAAAAAAGAACTGTCTTGAAAGTAATCCATGAATTCATCTGAATTGTGACAAAATACTTTTAAAATGTCAAAAAGAAGTATATGTATGTTTATTCATTAGCTTGACAGGAAGTGATTTGACTTCCCAAAATTGTTGTCTCATTTTGGTGAATTGTTTCCTCAAGGCTTTATGATATTAGTTTAGTATAGTTTAGGTACTTTATCATTTCATTTCCATTGAGGAAATTTGCTATTGATATTCCTTTGCCATAATCCTCTTTGATTGTTTCAACTCTCCTTCAATTTCTCCTTTCGTACAATTTCTCCTCAGATTTCATTTGGCCTTGTGCAACGCTCATGGACTGTAGGCTATAACAACGGGGATAATATTCTAGAAGGATCCTGCATTTAAGATCAAGTTGGCTTGACCTATATTGTCTGTGCATGGAGGGTAACCAGACACCATGGAGAGTGCGTCGTCATGGCTACAGCAGTACTACAATGCCATGTCCTGTGGCTTTGAGCGCCTCTATGCCTCGGGTGCTCACTCCGACACAACCATTATTGTTGGAGAGAAGACTTTCCAATGCCACAGGGTTGTCCTGTGTGCCATCTCGCCCTATTTTGATGCTATGTTCTCTTCTGGTATGAGAGAAAGTGTGTCTGGAGTGGTCAAGATAGAGGGTACAGAGAGTGTTGTCTTTGAAGCTATCCTAGAGTACATTTATAAGGGTTTGGATACCGTGACAGATGAAAATGCTGAGGCCATTCTTAAAGCCGCTTGTCTACTTCAAATGGAATGTCTCCAGAAACGTTGCGAAGAGTTTATATGTAAGACGTTATCGATAGCTAATTGTTTTGAACGATGGAGGCTTGCCCTGTGGCATTGCAGCCAACATCTAAAGCAGCAGGCCTGGAAGTTTATCATGTCAAACTTTGTAAAGATTTCGCAGCAGGATTATTTTGTGTCTTTGGAAAAAGACGAACTGATTTCCATTATCAAGGAAGATGATTTGAACTGCCCAAGTGAGGAGTTTGTCATAGAGACTGTTCTGAAGTGGGTGCAGCATGATCTGGAGGCCAGAGGTCAGCTCTTGGGTGATATCTTTCCTTACCTCCGCCTTCCATTGACTAAGCCTCAATTCTTAATCGACATCTTGAGGAAATATGCCTTTGTCAAAGAACACACAGAGTGCCACATGTACATTGACCATGCCAAAAACTTTCAGCTTCTTCCAGCCCATCGTCACGACAGCAGCAGTCCAGTCACATCTTATCGTACCACATCACCGTTTGAAGACATCTTGGTGGTCATATCAGGTGGTGAATCGCCAAGACCCCCCTATGTCCGCTCTAAAAATGTTCTCGCTTTTGGATTCAATAGTCGGAAGTGGTATCGTCTAGCTGCCTTACCGTACGACCCAGGCATTGAGTTCGCGACTTGTGTTCACAGCAACGATATTTTTGTGACCGGTGGAGGTCTGTTCAAGGCCTGCTTCTTGCGCTACCGCTCTAAGAAGGATAAGTGGTCGCAGTGTCGGGCAAAGCTAAAGAGTGGGCGTCGGCGTCATGCAATGGCTGCCTGTGGGAACAAGATCTACGTGATCGGTGGCTATAACAGTGAGCTAGAACAGGGGACCAAAGTACAGAGCTCCATTGAAGAGTTTGAGTTAGGGTGCAGTGAGTGGAATGAGGTAGGTGGAATGTTTGGTGTTGTGTGTGACAGACATGGAATAGATATCTATCTATAGCATGTGTGTAGATCAACACAACTCACAAGGTCTAAAAATGGTTTAAAATCGTTTTTGAGCTAGGTGGCCTTTAACCTGATTGAGACCATCAAAAATCTTCTGACACCTTACAACTAGTATTCACCAAAGATAATGGCTAAAATAGAGATGATGGTGATGACAGATTTGATCTGATTGGTCATGGTGTCCAAGGCATAATTTGATGAAGCCTTAATGGTTAGTTCAAAAATATTATTCTTATGATCTTTTTAAAAAGTTTCAGTAAAAAATATATCTACTGAGAGGTATCAGGATAAGTTCAAGTTGGTTTGCTTCTGTTGTTTTTTGTTTTTTTTGGGGGTTTTTTAATACTGTTTGTAATCTGTAAAATTGAAAATAAAATTAAGCTTGTATATCATGCTGATTCAGTAGAAATTACAGCTCAACAAGAATTTATTTATCTGTTTCTCTGTATACAGTGGAAATTGTCTGAGACGGACACCCATTGTCGAGGAGAAAAGTGGCCGTCTTAGATAGGTGGCTGTCTTATACATGATGAAATCAAAAAAATTACTATTTATGTCTTGTTCACTAGGTGGGAAATCTGATCACTCCGGTGAGCTCTATCTCTGCCACGGCGACCAAGGACAAAATTCTGGTGTTTGGTGGAGAGACCAACGACCGGACGGACACACCATCAATTCAGTGTTTCGACACACAGACGCACACCACCAGCATCATCGCTCAGCTACCCTTGGCCTGCAAGCTGACCCGCGCCACCGTTTGCAACAACTGCACCTACATCATCCTCTATAACGGCAAGATTGTGCAGTTTGATCACAGGAATGATAATGTCAAGGTCAGTACTGAAACAAAGATGCAGATTTTCCAAATAAATCTGTAAATCCGGATTTCAGAGCTGACTGGACTTGTGATATTTACTACTTCTTATACTTATACATTTATATTTTAATCTCCTTTTACTGCATTTTGTTTAAAAATAGTCTTGATACAAGATGCGTTCAACTATATGATCCATAAATTCTGAGTCTGTGCACATGCGTTTCCATGGGGTACGCAAAGTTCAAAATATATTTATAACCAGTCAGCACCTCTATTGAAATTTTCTAGAAAAATTCCTGTAGTATTTCTCCCTGTTACTCTGGTCTGTGACTCCTCTGGTGAGGGTGGATGGAGGGTTCTACTGTTAGGTACAATTTGTTCTCATTCCCTCCGTTAATTTTGTCTGTCTTTTTTTCCCTGCACTATATTTGCCGTTCTTGTGTGGATGTGCTTCTCTTTACTCAAAGAACTCCAACATCCTTTGCAATGGATTACACTCAAACTTTTACGTGTGTGTAGTAGATCAAGCTGAAATCCATTGACTTAAAAATAAAAATAAAGTCCTGGTTTCTCTGATCTTTCTTCTCGTGATGGGCCAGATTCAGAATATTAACAACAATTAGCATTTTAGAGATAATTGTTACTGTTGTTTATTCAGTAGCCTTTGGTTGTGTGCCCTTCGGTCCGGTGCCATGTCAAAAAAAGGGGGAAGTCTTCAAAAGCAGTTCTTTGCTGCATTATAATAATGCAGCAAAGAACTAGGGTATCGTCTGTGGTAGAAACAGGAGGAAGTTGCTGTTTGAGATCCTGCTGTTTCGGAGATTTGAAGAGCAGATGTTGGACTGTTTACATTGAGGAGGTTAAGCCCATGCAAAAGCAAAACAGATGTATCAACATAGTGTTCTGTTTAAACCCATAAGAAAACAAAAAAGATGGAGGGCGGGTGCTCTGGTGTGGTTTGCTCCTTCTTTCCTGTTAAAAATCTATCGTCCTTGTCTCTCCTTTTTTGTGTTTGTTACTTTTCTTGTAAAACCTATTATTTGGCTCAAGGTGACCTTATTGTATTGCTGGTGCTGAAAACCTTTACTAAAACTAAAATAAAAAAGATAAAGGGAATGAATAACAAAGTAGAACGACTCTCTAGCGCAGTTAGTCAGTTTGGTTTCCCCTCTCATTCCCCAGGTGATGGGCCACATCCAGAACTTTGACTGTGTCCACTACGGGCTGGTTCACCGTCGTGGTTGTCTCCTCCTGCTGGGCGGTCAGCGCATCATCCCCGGCCCGACCCCTGTGCGTGCGCTAGTGGACACCATGCTATTGTACGACGTGCGCAACCAGCGAGTCATCATGCTCAATGACAGAATTCCTTCACCGCGACTCGTGGATAGCTGCGCGAAGATCACCATCGAGAAAAAGTTCCTTGTGACGGAGTATGTGGACCCGCCCCCAACCACGACATGACGAAAGTCTCTACATTGATTTTTGTGCAACAGCAGGGTATTTCGTTGAGGGTACAAATGGCAAATCACATCGTGTCCTGTGTTGTTTTTTTGGACCTTGTGAACCAGGGTAATTTGAATTTGTATGTACAGTTCACATCGCAAAAAACAAAATCCATCTGATCTAATTAATGAAAGAAGACTCAAATTTTAGCCCACAGCACTTTTATTTTATTATTAATAGTGCATGCTGGTTAAGGATATTTATTGAGGACTCCCAGATCGATGTGGGTAATGGGTTTAGAACAATAAAAGCGGTAACTTATTTGTTCCAGTTATAAGAAAAAATGAAAGGGTAATATTGATTTGTAAATGATTTGCAGGTAATAATATGTCCTTATTTTGCTTTTTTCAGGGTCGGCAGAAGCATTTTGAGAGGGAACTTGCCATTGTATATTATATGTATGCATATCTGTGTTTGTTTAGCAGTGTGTTTATCTGTGCTTCTCACAAGAGTTTCATGTTCCTGAGCCTGCATGGGATCTTTTATCTTTCACTACTAGTTCCTGCGCCTCCATTTGTGTAGTGTGTGAGTGAAGCTATAATAAAGTGATGCGCCTGTTTTTGCACATTTTAAAATGTTTCTGTTTTAGTTGATCATGGTACAACGGTATTTATTTATATTCTTTTATATTATAGTTTGCATGTGTGAGTGTATGTTTGGTTGCATATATGAATTTTAGTAAGTGTTGATCGGTTTGAAATGTACAAGGACCTCGTGGTGGAATCAGGCGCTCGTCAATTTTTGGGCACGTGGAGTTATTGCGTCATCTGAATGTTTATTCATTTGCCTTACTTAAAATTTTTAAAAATATCCATCTAGCTTGAATAGAAGTCGAGATATTTGTGATTGCAGAAGGTAGGGTAGCATGGTTTCAGTAGTTAAATTAATGAGAAAATGGCCGCCAAAGTTTCATCACTTTAATCGCGTAAGAGTTCTTGAAAACGAAAAATTACATATTTTGCGTCTTTAAACTAGGTTTTTCAGTAAAACTCACAGGGAAATGTGTCTTCATAAGAACATAAAAGCCAAAAAAACAAATTTTGATAAAAATTGTGAAACTGATGAAAAAATGCCTTTTTCTACGAATTCATTATTTTGACGAGCACCTTATTTCACCACGATGCCTCTCATACAGTCACATATGCCCAAAGCTTTGTTGATGTTGGTGGATGGCGGGTGCTCTGGTGTGGTTTGCTTCTTCTTTCCTATCAAACACCAATCGTCCTTATCTCCCCTCCATCTTTTTTATGTTTGTTACTCTCTTGTAACACCTCTACTCTTCTGGCGCTCATATGACCTTATGCCGTTGCGAGCCCCTTAACACTTCTACTAAAACAAAAGCTTTGTTGATCATCATATTGGCAAAGATTCAGTTATTGTTGACAGTCATGCTGGGATTGATTTAGTCGCTGTTGAGTCTTATTGGCTTAGTAAAGGTGTAGTGTTTGTTGACAGTTGTGTTGGCTTAGCTTTAGTCACTGCAATCGATCAATCTCGTCAGCTAGTCGCTTAAGTATTTGCAAAGCAAATTTCAACTGCAAAAGTCCTGACCGTTTTTATATTAATATAAATTTTAAAATAAATTTAATCATTCTTTTGTTTTGGTTTGTCCTAGTAAACGACACTTAATTTTGTCCTGGCTTCTATAATGTAGCTGTTAGGCTCTTTGCTGTAGTTTGCAGAAAGCATAAGCTTGATTCATGAGGGTGAACATGTTTATAGAGTTTTTCTGTCCCTGTTCTGGGATGCTGTATTCCATATCAGCCTGGGTTGACCTGAACCGGCAGGGTCAAGCAACCTGTCCCCCATTGGTGATCTAATTTTGCTGATAGAGCTGTAAAATGCTACTATTACTATTACTATTTCTGCTGCTACTGATCAAACTGTTCTCTATAGTTTCTGCCCTGAGGCTAGCCTTGCATGAATTCTTTCAGTCTTTTTCTCTTCTGAATTTTTTGGTTTTGTTTTGTTTTTGAGATTCTTTGGTGTTTTTGCTGTAATTGTTACACTATGTTCTAGTACCTGACCCTGTATTTGGTTACTAAATATATGAAATTTGCTGACATTAATGTGATATCTCTCTGTGAATAAGGCACTACTATTTGTATTATTCTTATTCTTATTGTAATCATCATCATCATTGTCACCAGCATTTTTACATAGTGAAAAGTATTATTTTTTTATCATTATCTTTATTATTGGAATTATTTTTTATTTCATGAAGAAGTAAAAAGTATTATTATTACTGTCGACATCTTCATTTTCATTATCTTCATTTTCATCATCATTATAAAATTGAAAAGTAGTGACTGCCATCTGTTGTGTAGCAGCAGGCAGGGACTGAAGCCCGCCTCCTAAATGATCATCTAGATTGTGTTGATTGGGAACGTAAAACGTACATTAAAAAAAACCCAGTAATGAAAAGTATTATTTTATTAGAGATATTACTTTTCAGAAAAGTATTTTTATCGTGGCATCATGGTTACATTAACACATATCATTCATCAGTACTTTTCTTTTGAATGATGTACTATTTTTTTGGGCCCTGGGATGGTGCTTGCTTGAGAAAAATTTCCTAGGTCCTGATGTCTCTAACATTTGTTTATGCTTGTCATCTCACTGCGATGTTCATGTCATTTCTTTCAAAGGATTTTTTTTTTTTTTAATTATTTTTTTTGGTACATTTTCCTGAACTAAAGTTTGTTGCTGTTGTTTGAACTGACATTTGAAACTTTGTTTCTCCATCTACCTCCGTGACCAGGCAGACGTAAGCTGTAAACTTGATTATATTCTGCACCAATTTTCTCTGTTTTTGTAACATACACTTTTTCGCCGTACTGTGTTATGAATTCCCAAGTGTAGAAATTTTTTATCCAGCGTCTCTAAATGTCTTCTGGGATGTTTTGTTCCTCTCCGCCAGATTGGCCCTGACAAGCTGGTTTGAACTAGCATGCTTCATAATATAAGGTCTAGATTACAGTACAGTGGAGTCGTCTTAAGCTGGAATGTCCTGTCTCCAGATTTTATTTGGCTTATCCGAGTTTTCAGTTTTGAGAGGTTGCTCAAATAGAAGGAAAAAAAATCAAGAATTTTATTTTCTTTCTGTCAACTTCTCTTTTCGGATTAACAGTGTTTGTTAAGGGGGAGGGGGGGGGGGCTACGCCTGAAGGCTGTCTCGCTTATTAGTGAATTTTACCAAATTTCACACATATAACAAGCTTAGTAAGGAGTCTTAAAATCCGCCGTCAAATTTGAGAAAAATGTTTCGTTTCCATGGATACGGCGGCCATATTGGGTTTTGTTGACATCCTACGTAATGAATACCGCACTTACTGTTCATGGAAATTGATTATTTTTTTGCAGGCGTGTTCACAAACATTAGATCTCAAAAGTTGTGTGTTGTTTTTTTCCTAAACGAATTAGAACATTTCTAATGAATTTTTTTCTGAGGTAGCATTCAAGTTTGCAAAAAATCCGTGAAAGTCCACACTCAAGACACCACCACCAAAAATGTATTTCATATATCAAAAATTCAACAGATGAATTTTTAGTATTACATCTTCTCTTCCTTCTGTGCAAATTTTATGAAGATTGGATGAAAAATGGTGGAGTTATTAAAAAAAGTAGAGAGAAAAGTTGCGTTTAAAGAAATCGGCCGATAAAGAAGAATACAATATTGACTTTATAAGGAAGTGGTGGTGACACACATGCCCGATATGGGAAGAAATGAGGTTTTTGGGGGTTCTTATGCTATGAAATAGTTGTAGGAGAGGCTGAGGAAGCTAAAAATGCCTACAACTCAAATTCCATAATTTTGAGCCGAATCGGGACTTTGCCCCCCCACCCCTTAAGTGGACTCCTCTGTATATAGCCTACAGTTCCTTGCTGGGCAGTAATGGTGCCTACTCATACCCCATGCCAAAGGGTACACTACCATAGAGAGTGGATGGATTATGAGTGTTCTGCTGCAGCTTGCTCGTTTTGCTTCTCTTCATCTGTCATTGTCATCTGTTCAGGCAAAATGTGGCGATTTTTCGTGCTATCTCGCCATTTGTTCCAACTCAACAGCTAGTGAGAAACTTCTGCATTTTCAACGTTGACATTCCCTTCACTCAATGCGGTTATTACTTACATACTCTTTAGATACTGTTTTTTTCCCCCCTTTGAGTGTCTGGTGCTGCTCTGAATGCTTTGCTGGGTAGATAGATGATTGGCTTTATTTGAACAGAGTGTAACCCGGGCAGATCACTTTTCTTGGCCCTTCACGTATGGAGATATAAGGATTGAGTACCCTTGTAAGAAGGATACGATGTGTAATATCTTCACCATCCCAGCAGGAAGGAGATTGACTCCGTATACGTTTGTCTGTCTGCTGGGACATTGCATCCATCCATCTCAGCCCTGGTTAGCTTAGGCAGGCGGGGTTGAGGCAGTCTACATCCTAAATGACCTACATTGTGACATCAGGGATGAAAGAACATAAATTAGTTTGTCTTTTCCCGTTGAATTTTAAAAAAAAGAAATTGTCAGACTCCGTTGGTGTTATGTAGGACTCTTAGTATTTACTTTGATGGTAGAGACAGGAGATTTATGGAGAAATGTAGACTTTTTCGTTCTGATTTGCTGTATACTTCAACTCAACAGCCATGGAGGATGACTTTACTAATGATACAAATGTCTTTACTGATGATGACAAGGCAGCATGTATCATTTTGCTGTTGTGTGAAATAATATGTCAGTCGGTTGATGTCTGTGATGTGCTCTTGTTTCAGCATTATACTCCAAACTTTGTGATAAGTGAATTATGTGAGATTGTTTTCTGTCTGATGATTTCTTGGGGGGGGGGGGGGATTTTTGTTGTAAATGATTGAGTGTATCTAGGTATGTTGTAAGAGTTAATTGCTAAATGGTAAGTCCAATGTAGTGAAAACCAAATATTACAGAAAATTAAAGAAAAAGTTAACAGTGTTATGTTCTAATTACACAAGTTGCGAAGGTTTGAAAATAATTAGAAGACAGAATAAAACAGCCGTTTTTATTTTCAGTCTATTATTTGGCTTGTATTTCTGTTATAATGTAAAATTATCTGTTTAAAAATGGAAACCAAAAATGCTTTGATTTGCCTTTCAGCATTTATCACTAAGGATTTAGTCTGGCTAATCATAGTTTTTGTGCAAGTGAATACTTTTGAGCTCCGAGTTCTTTTCAAAACTTTTCAAATACGTAATGCATGGTAGCATGAGGCTACTTGTAGATCCTACTTCTTTTCTTTCCTTCTG